AATTCTGTTAAATAAAAAATTTTGACAATGAGATATTTGTAATTTTTCAAACCACAAAGAGCAATTCGTATTTTAAGCAAACCTCAAAGGGTGTATCTGTAATTTACCCTTAATTTCATTATAAAGACTGAAGAATCAAACATTATTGAATCCAAAAATAATAATGAATTATTGATAAATAATTCAAAAAAATGCCAAAAACAATAAATTCCAAATTGCCAAACTAATTGCTATCCACCCATCAACTCACTCGGCTCACTTAATCTACATCCGTTAACTAAACGGATGGATACAGATTGAATTTTTTCAATTTGCCAAAGTTCGGACAAATGATGGGTAAGAGTCCACCCAACCCAACTCAATCCTCAAGCACCCCTAGTCATGGTGAGAAGGGGTGTGCATGGTGTGGTGTGAGAATAAAATTAAAACTAAAAGCGAATTGACAAATTTGTTATCTGTAACCAAATCGTGGTTTGGGCAGTTTCAACTATTAATTGATTGGAGAATGACCTTGGACAATTATCAAGTATTTAAACTATATATAACACTAATTTGTATAATATTTTATATATAGTACTAACTTGCACCGAATTTCACATTGATATTTCATTGGAAGTAAAAAAAAATACTCCATCCGTTCCAAAATATCCCAAAATATTAGTCATTTATTCTATTTTTCATTGTCCCAAAATATTAGTCCATTTTCAAAATCAAGGACTAAAATAACATGAATTTCCTATGTTGCACTTCTTTTAAATCCATTAGCATTAATATTTTTGAAATGTAATAATTGTAATACCAAAGGGTAGTTTTGGAAGTTAATATTTTTGAAGTGTAATAATAATTGTATTACCCAAAAAGTTGAATTCCCCAAAAGAGACTAATATTTTGGGACAAAGGGAATATATATATATTAACTATGACAAGGTGGGGTAATTTCGAATGTGGATTATAAATTTCAAATCCCAGATCAAACCAACTTGCGGTTAGGAGGCGGATAAATATGAATTGGGAATTTTTAGCAGATTGAGCAGCATTTTACAAATACCTAATGGCAAGTTCACGGGGAGCTTATATTTTCACACATCATTTTCACTCTGTACACACATATAATGAAAAATATTTTTATTATAATTTTAACGTTAAATAAAACTACTAATATAGAATTTAGTGCATACACTCCACTTGAGATTCATATTTTCTCAATCCATAAATTTTTGAATTTTTTTTCTTCGTATTTTGTTGTCTTTAGTGACCTTATATATATATATATATATACTAGTGTATGCCCGTACCTGAAGATACAAGGTACGGTATGGATAAAAATAAGTGAACAAATAAGAGAAAATAAAAAATAAATAAACAAATAGAGAGAAAAATAAAAATGGGAGAAAAAAATAAAAAGAAAAGAGGGAGGGATCATGGGATCATGGAATGATGGGTGAGAAAAATGAAAAAGTAAGAGAGAGAAGCAGGAAAGTAAAACATGTACATGTAGGACATATTTTGAAAAATATATCTCAGCCATTGTTTTATAATTTGAATAGATCTAAACCATCCAAATGTCTTAGTAGGACAATAGTATGTTGAAGATTTAAAAACCGTCTTGCTTTATTAAATAGATTTTAGTCAAGTTTTTATTTTTTTTGGATGCATCTATCTAAATGTATTTAAAAGTAAAATATTTGTCAAAAAATCTTTAAAAATTCAATAAATACAAACTATTTTTCAAAACTGTCAAACTTTGAGTGATTCATTCTAAGAACACAAAACACTTATTCTATTGTGATCAGTGGCGGAGTCAGGAAATTAAATCATGAGGGATACTTATTAATTACAGCTTTATTTATTTTTATTTCCATAACCAACAATAAGAAGATAATAATAATTTTTTAATTAATATTAAAAATTAAATAAATTGTTACAAAAGTATTTCACATAAAATTTTACAATTAACTTCAAGTAAAATCGAAAAGAAAGTATTGCATATAACTAGTGTATCACCAACTAATAGTAAAGCAACATAAGAAGGGTGAACTCCACATACAAATACAACTAATACTCTAGTAATTTTTACATATATATAGGGAGATTAATTATATTTGCATATCAATAATGATGGATATTACCTTTATATTGAGATTAATTATATTGAGATTTTTTCACAAAATTTTTATACATAAAAATATAATTTGTTGTAGTCACTTCATTTTTAATAAAACAATCACTATTGTTTTCATAAATTTAAAAATTCCCTTAATATTTTATTCTAAATATTATTTTTGTTTAAAACTTTATTTATATACATATGTTAAAAAAAAATGAAAAATACAGAGAGGCGCATGACCCCCCTAATCCCTATGTGGCTCCGCCAGTGATTGTGACCTTCCATTGTCACCTTCAAAAGTAATTTTTTTCACTCACTCCATTGTCACCATCCAAAGATTCTCATGTTTTCCAATGCTTATTACTTTAGTTTACACTGTCACTTTTCAAAGGTCCTCATCTTTCCCAATCTATTATCAAACCTCCTCATTCAAATCCCACATCCTTATTTAGTTATTATGAAATATTTGCATGATGAAAGCTCCGATTTTAAGAATATCATCTTTTATGACAAAGATATCCATGAAAAGGTGAGTATGAATATGATTTTTTTTTAGCACCATTGGATAGGCTAGGGTTGAAAGTTGAGGTATTATTCGATGTTTTAGTATCAAAAAAGTTAGTAATATTCAACATTATACTTCTGAACATATTTATTTTTTTCAGAAATCAAGTTGCAAACTTTTTTTTTTTTTGGTGGCAAAGAAGTTTCAAAAAAAAAAAAAAATTCCCAGCTAAAACTAGGTTCCGAATAGAGCACACTGGTTTGGTACTGTAGTTTGAACTCTTCCTATAATTTCGATTAAGAATTTCCCAACCCATATGTTTTTAAAAGTCAGGTTTTCTATTGTTCGAGTCTTATTGTAGTGCTATGCCTCAACTCAAGGAAGTGAGGTTCACTCTTATTATACTAATGTACTTGATTACACTAGTCAATTTACAATTAAACATGTTAACTAAATGAAGCACCTTACAGTTCATGTATTTATGATATATATTTTTCATAATATTCATTTCATTTAATCTATAGGTTTTCAATAACAAAGATAAATTGCTGTTGGCTGGGGTGTCAGCTTTGACTTGCGGTGGGCAGATTGTTTGGGGCTCAATGTATTTTGAATTTAGTTAAGATCTATTTAACCTTCCCTTTTTCTTTTTTTTTCCCTTAATTTGTAAGGCCGAGGGTTTGGTCATAAGGATGCAAGTAGTAGTACTCTCTGAATCTCTCTCATTGCGTCTATTTTCCTTATACCTTTAATTTTATATTTGTAATGAAACTTTTACTCTTTTTTTTTATCGACAAATGCTAGTTATTAGTTGTTAGATTAGTACCTATGGGAGAAAATCTCTCCACCCTTGTCAAAGCACCAAAGTGATTGCACTCCCTTGATTCAACCCCCCTAAGGGGAATTGAACCCATGACCTATTTGGGACTAAGCTCTAAGGAAGAAATTTTTACTTTACTGATCCTAAAAAAAAAAATTAAAAAAAAAAAGATTAAGTGCTCAATTACCACGTGATGTTAGAAAGAGGAATGTTTTGTCGTTATTATAAAGACACTGGACTATGGTAGAGGTCGTAAAAGACCAAGGATTTATCTTGTTTGTGAGAGGAGTGGCCAATATAGAACAAGAAAGAAGTTGAAAGATGATTCAAGAACTATGTTGAGCATAACTAGTATGAATAAGTGCAAATGTCCTTTTGATTTGAGGACATACACGTTCACCACAAAGGATGAATGGTCACTGCATGTAGTGTACGGATTGCATAACCATCTAGCTACAAAGCCTCTTGAGGGACTTTCAGGTGCATGTACATTGCCAAATGATAAAAAATTATTGTTAATGGATATGTCAAAGAGTATGGTCATATCGAAAGAGATTTTAATTATATTGAAATAGAGGGATGCCCATAATGCACTGAAAACCATTACATTGTGCGTCAACGGAGCAAGGTTGTAGAGAAAATTGGAATATCATAGATGCAACAACTCTTGGGTGAATTAGAGATGTATAATTAAATTGATCGTCATCGATGTAAAGAGGACATTATGACTGTGATAGATTTGTTTTGAGCACATTCTGTTAGTTTGGATTTATTTCGTTCATTTCCAAGTGTATTGATTGTGGATTGCACATAAAAGACAAACATATATCGTCTTCCTCTTTTTGAAATTGTCAATGTCACATACACTGAAATGACTTTATCAGGAGTTGTTTGGCATTGGCTAATATAGCCAACTTTTTTAGCCTATGACATTTTTAACCTGGCTTTTTTAGCCTCGTTTGGTTTTTGTTTTAAGACTTTTTAGACTTTTGTGAGAGAAAAAGTGGTATTTTGTCTTATTGGCTTATATAGCTTATTTTGTTTTTTTGTACCTTTTTAGTCACAAATTGTTGGCCAAACGAGCACTCAGTAGTTTTCACATATTTATTGCTTGAGAGAACTGGTAACTATGAATGGGTGTTGAATATATTGTCTTGATAACTTGGTGTATCATATATACTCCTCATGAGAAGTGTGCAAAATTTTGAATACATTCTTTGTTCACCCTTTTGTAGTGTGTACAAACATTAGGGTTGTGTTTGGTAGGACTTTGAAAATTTGATTTCACCCCTTGGTTTGAGTGTAGTGTTTAAGTTAGCACTTTCAAAAATTGATTCCATACCTACTTTTTAAAATACGTGTACCCGGTCATCCCCCCGACGTCCAGCTGATTGACCAGAACCGCGTTCGTTTTTTTTTTTTAAATCAAATATCATATGTCATATCATTCATTTCAAACTTAATTCAAAAATCTTTTTAAAACTCATAACCAAACAAATTTTCCACACTCAAATTATAATTTCAAAACTCACAAACTCAAAATACAACTCTATTCTTAAATCATAATTCTAAAACTCTACCAAACTCTGCTTAGTATTTTCCGAATCCCTTTCACATACATTCCTACAAATTCATAAAACAATCAAACTAAGATATAAAATTGTAAATTATGACAATGAAATCAATATTGAGCTCAAGGTGACGGCCCTATTTGGTAGGCCTTATTTCCAGCTTATTTCAGCTTTTAGCTTAATTTAAGCTATTTTGATGTATTTGGTTCAGCTTAACAATACAGCTTATAGCTTCTTGTAAGTCAAAAATCAACTTATTCTTTAAGTGAGGGAGGAGAACCTTAATTTATAAGTCAAAAATCAATTTATGTTCACAGTTATAAACTATAAGCTGTTAGGCTATAAGTTATAATCACTTTCCCACAGCTCTACTAAACGGGGCCGATATCTTACTTGGTGTAATCAATTAATGGGACTGACCAATTGAGAAGGACGGGAGTGGTCGACCAAAGTTGAGCATAGTTCGGGTTGGTTTGGTTTAGAGGTAAACCAAGATCAATCCATTCCATCAAATTTAGAACTAAACCAATCCATGAAAATCTTGTAAACCACAGTTCGATTTGGTTTAGAATTACGAATTTTAAAAAGATTATCATTTATTTACAATATGATCACAAAATATTTTTCACAAATTATTTACATGATTGTTTAAAGCTAGTTCGATCGCTATACAAAAATATACTAATAATAGTAGAGAGTTATAATATTTGATATTAATAAAATATTTTAGTATTTACTATTACTAACAAATTATATATAATCTAAACAGTTAGTTTCGGTTCCAATTAGATTCATAACTATAAAACCACGGTTTGCCTATTTCAAAAAATACAACCGAACCGGACATTGAGAAAACTATACCAAACCGTGCAATTTGACCTGGACTAGACTGGTCTACGGTTTTTCGATTTTTATGCTCAGTATTAATCAACCAAGTGGTCCTCATCCAACCTCATTTAAATCTTTCATTGATCCATGGCATTACGTGACAATGTCATCTAATATCACCGTTGCATCCGAAATCTCCTTAAGGGAATGAAGACAATGTCACTTTTTTGACACATCAAAATCTATAACCTTGAGCGAGAGAAAGCTTTACCCTGTTGCAAGACTTGAAGGGATTCAGACCAACTGGATCAAGATTTACAGATATAGAATGAGAAAAAAATGAGAGAACAATATAAAAACAGAAAGATAGCTTTTTGATTATTCTTCGACTTTGTCATTCATTGGTCTACAAAGATGAAGGGGGAAGGAAAGAAAATTCAGAGAAGGCTCTGCACCTTACTAGCATTTAGCAACCAAAAAAGCACTAAATACAGCAATAGATGGAACAATCTGCTTATCATATAAACCAATAAGCATGTGAACATTATGACATGTGTGCATATTAGGAGGTGAATTGTAGGAGTTCCAGATTGTTCTTCCCCTATTTCTTCATTATGGAATATTTTATTGACTCAAAACTCTTTGATACGGTTTGTTGTCAATTCCCACAACTACCTTATCTTTCAAATGGTCATAGAAATTTTCATAAAAAGAACAATCTGAAAAACCAAAAACAAATATAATTATTTGACACCATAAATCCCCAAATGAGAGGGCCTGCCTTACTTTCAAAAGGTAGAAGTTCATGAAAAACATAGCTTAGACATTACAGAATTCTTAAAAAAAAAAAAAAAACAGTACTAAACAAAAGCTTTAGAACAATAAGAAGGTTACAAAAGGCACATCTGCTCCAACATGTAGAACAAGCTCAAACAGTGGCCAGGCTTTCATGGAATTCATAAACATACTTAAAAGCATATGATGAACAAGAAGCATCCTTGTAACCAGGACATTCATAAAAGCTAGTTTGGTAATCACAAAGCACCTTCACCTGTCTTGCACTTCAGATTATAGGAAACAATTTTGCCAGGAATAGATAACACCAACGTAAAATCTTTTTCATTTGCTCCCTTCACAGCACATAGTACAGAAATTTTACCGAAGCTGGGCGTTTCAAGCATGAGTCTGCGTCTCTCATCTATCTCGGGAAAAAGAGATATTATAGGTCCAAGACTCACCTGGTACTTCTACATCCAATGACAGCAGTCCCTCTCCATCTCAAGAATTTTGAATCCCAAAGCACAGCACTGACAAAGCTGAACAAGAAGTAAATGGCCACAGCATTCTCCAAAATACCAAATCTTCTCTTCGGAAAGAATTTTAGGGTATGAAGGCATTGGAGTTCCTATTAGCTTCTGAGCATCAACATCCAATCGAATGTAAATGTTATCGTAACTCATCCAATGAATTGCCCCATTCCAAAATACCTTTTTGTGAAAGAGTAACCTGGTGGGGCAGTGGCACACATGTATGTCCAAGAGGCACTCTCCAAAGAGTATATGTCAATTAAGTAAAAGCATCCATCACTATTCCTAATGTAACTTATCAATAAAACTTTGTAGTTAGGTGATTTTGAAGGATCAAAAACTAAATAACCACCAAACATATTACCCAATGATCCAGATGAACTCCAGAAAACACCAAACTTGAGATGAAATTGTACAGAAGATGATGTAGTGCCACCATGATAGGGATAGGGAAGTACTGTGTATTTCTGGGTGGTCAGGTTACAAACAATGAAACATGTGCCATTCAACAGTAAGCCTTTGCAAGAGTCTTCAATCCTCTATGTACCAGACCCATCTCCAACACCATTTAGGAATGACACAGTCGGAAGACTTCGGTGGTGGCCGTTAAGTGAGACAGACTTGACTTGTGCATTGTCTGATGTACAAGGGTTGATGAATAGTCCTGAGAACAAGGCATTGGGATCTCGGTGAGAGTGGTTGCAAGAAAATTGTGAATCGGAGATTAAAGAGAGCCAATCCTTAGACACGCACTTGAATCTGATGAGGAACTTTGCCGGCACACAGGTAAGGATCTCTGTTAGGATATCTGCATTGCTGCCAATTAATTCTGCAGCTGGTGTATGTTCCGATGAATTGTAGCCAATAATTAGCTTTCTTTTGTTGTTCGTCATTTTTCCCTGTGCACAACCCAGAACAAGAACAGAGAATACGCATCACCATCAAACTTTTAAACGTCAGCCAAATTTTAGTTAAAAAACTACTTTTTCTATTTTAACTAATCCCACTACTAGAATTCCTTTTTGTCAAGCATTTTCCTTATAACTATGATGTGATCTAGTTACTAGTATAATTCATTACAGCATTCTCCCATCCTTCACAAAATCTTGTGTCAAATTTGAATTTCAAGAAAATGACTCCAATCATTTCATCAAATTTGTATCAAATCAAAATTTTCTTCAAATCAAGGCAAAATAAGTTTTTCACTAGATTTGATGAAACAAACTTTTGGGGATAAGCATGGAATTTTTAAGAGTAAAGCCTCACTTGAGGACTCATGAGACACACCACATATCCTGTTTCGATGATCCAAACCATTCATTTCATAAGATCTTTTGTAATCATCTATGAAAAAAAGTAGCTCAATCCAATAATCGTAATATCTGTATTTACCATGTTTATCGCAAAAAAATATGGTCTATTTTCAAAACATACTCATTGTTCATTTTTGGAAACAGACATGATGAAATGAAAATGTTGCCATTATTCAACTGTGATAATTTTTTTCATGGATGATATACACAAAGGCCCCTACATGAACAGTTTGGATCATCGAAACAAAACTTGAGCGGACCCCACGAGCCACTCAAGTTCTCCTCTCTAGTTCTCTCAAGCCAAGATTTGAACTTGAGAAGCCAAACCCAATTCGTAAAAAAGATTTGATGAATTTTTAAAGTGAGGATTGGAGCATTAAAAAAATTTCACCAAATCAAGCTTGCAGTTAAATTTGATGAAAAGCCATTGGAGCATGAGCATCCCATATCAAATCAAGCTTAAAGCTAATTTTTTACCCAAATTTGATTAAATAAATAAATAAATAAAAGAATGAACTCATTGTAAAGTGAGATCTAATCAATAGTTCAAAACTTTTAAAACTTGAAAAAAATTATTTGTGATATTTATTAGTTTTCTTGTAAAATACTTCTGTTGCAATGCTTATACAAGAAATTATGATAAATTAGTAATCAATCAAACTAATTATGTATGTTATATGTTTAAGATTCCTGAAAGCTTTTCTGCATATTCGATTGTTTCAATTTACAAAGAGTTCATTAGTTTATATAGCCCTAAATCTATGACTGAAAAAGGAAATACAAACTATGACTGAAATATGAAATAAAAACGAATTCCTATTTACACACTCATGCCATATATACACAATCTATATATATATAATATATTCTCACAACTTCACTCAAACTCGAAGTGTTTTCTGAGTTTTAGCAGAAAACACTGAGAGTTTGCTAAAAAGAAACTGAAACTAAGCGGTAGTATGAGTCTTGGTGAAGAAGTCCGCAAGTTGCAAAGCCGAGGAGACAAAAAGAAGCGAGAGAGAGCCAGACTGCAAATGTTGTTGGACAAAACAAAATGACAATCAATCTCAATGTGTTTCATCTGTTCATGGAAGACAATATTGCGGGCAATCTGAATAGCACTGCAGTTGTCACAATAGAGAGAGGTCGGAGAAGACTGAGATACACCCAAATCAGAGAGAAGACAACGAAGTCAAACAAGTTCGGCAGTAGAATGAGCCATAGCATGATACTCAGCTTCGATAGTAGAGCGAACAACAACAGTTTGTTTCTTGCTTTTCCAAGGGATCCAAGAATTGCCAAAAAACATATAGAAACTAGAGGTGGACTTACGATCATTAACATCACTAGCCCAATCAGAGTCAGCAAAGGCCACCAAGTCTAAAGAGGAAGAAATAGAGGACAACAGTAGGCCCTGAAAGATAGTACCCCGGAAATAGCGAAGAATGCCAACCAAAGTAACCCAATGGTAGAGCGAGGAGCAGAAACGAACTGACTAACCACATGAACAGCATAAGCAAGATCAGGACAAATGACAGTCAAATAAACTAAACAACCCACAAACTCGCAATAGAAAGTGGGATCATCCAAAGGGACACCATCAGTACAATTGAGCTTCACATTGAGCTCAATAGGTGTATCAAAAACCTTAGTATCGATAAGACTGGCACGGTGAATAATCTCATTAGCATACTTGGCCTGAGACAGAAAGTAGGCCTTTGGAGAAGAGGCAACCTCAATACCAAGAAAATACCGCAAGGGACCAGATCCTTCATTTCGAAGGTGTGGAAGAGATGTTGCTTGACCTCAGAGATAGCAGAAGAGTCAAAGCTAGTGATGATCATATCATCCACAGAGTAAGAGAGCAACAAAACAAGCCGAGGTATGTCTCAGAAACAAAACAGAGTCGGAAGCAGAAGTATGAAACCTAATATCGGTAACAACAGTCTGAAAGCAATCATACTAAGCACGAGGAGATTGCTTCAAATCATATAGAGCACACCGAAGATGACAAACCTGCCTAGAGGAGTGGAGAAGGCCACAGGGAGGACGCATGTAGACCTCCTTAGTGAGATGACCGTTAAGAAAGCATTATTAATGTCCATTTGATAGAAAGGCCAATGTCGAATAGCAGCAACAGAAATCAAGGTACGGACAGTAGTCATCTTGACAATAGGGGCAAATGTCTCCTCATAATCAATACCATACTCTTGCGAGAAATCCTTGGCAACCAAGCAAGCTTCGTATCGCTCGAGAGAACCATCGGAATGAATCTTGAATTTATAGACTCAATTGCAACCAACCAGATTCTTGCCAGCAGGCAAAGGAACCAACTCCCAAATGTTAGTCTTCTGCAAGGCAAACAACTCATCTTCCATAGCTTGAACCCAATTAGGATCCTGACAGGCCTCCGTGTAAGACTAAGGTTTTGAAAAAGAATGAATAACAGACAAAAAAAGTACAATAAGAAACAGAAAAACATATATTAGACCAACCCAACCTATTTGAAGGACGACGCTCACGAGTAGGATATCGGTATGCAGCAAGATCAGAGTCGTCAGAAGCAGGAGGATCAGTAGTAGGGGTAGAGACAACTAGTGGAGGAGGAGCCTTGAGATGAGAATAAACTAACAACAAATGAGGAGAAGCCGAAGGAGGAGAAGCAACCAAAGGTGAAGTAGGAGACAATGATGGAACAAGCTCGGAAGGAACAGTGGAGATGTACTTATCAGACAAGACCTCAAAAGGAAATGGATCAATATGAACCAAATCTTCTTTGGAAATAGGGGCGGTGAGAGAAGGAAGCTAAAAGTAAGGTAGACGTTCGAGAAAGGCAACATGGCGGGAGACATAAAGGCGACGAGAGACAGGGTCATAACAGTGATATCCTTTCTGAGTGAGACTATAACCAAAAAGACACAGAGAACAAATCGGACACTACGTTTGGTCCTATCTTTAAGGGATAAAAGGACAAAACAAGCAGATCCAAACACACGAAAGAGGGAGTAATTCGGAAGTTGGGAAAACAGAGCCTCATAAGGAGACCAACCAAAAAGGAGGGTAGGCATATAGTTGAGAAGAAAAGCAGCAGTAAGAACTACCTCACCCCAAAACGGAGCCGAAACGGAGGCAAAGAGAAGGAGAGAACTAGCTATCTCAAGAAGATGATGGTGTTTACGCTCAGCTCGACCATTTTGGGCAGGTGCATCAGTTGGCCAAGTATTCACAGAATTCAGTTTTAAAATATTCCTCGCCCAAGTCAAACCGCAACAATTTAATAATAGACCAAAACTGTGTAATGACCATACACTGGAAGGTACAGTATATCTGGTAGAAGTCGGACTTATGAGTCATAAGATAAACCCAAGTGTAACGGGTGCAGTCATCAACAAAAGACATATAGTAGGCAAAACCCCTTTTGGTGAGTGTTAAAATCCACCTACTCTCCACCTACTTCACCCACTTAAACCTACTCCACTAAACCTAACCCACTACACCACTACCACCTCACCTACTCCACTAAACCTAACCCACTACACCACTACCACCTCCACTTCACCTACTCCTTACCTACTACACACTCACCCTCTTCTATATATAGGAATCATGAATCATTGTAATAAATATCAATATAACATTATATCAATCAATAATACAATCATTTCTCTTTATACATTAAATTTCTACATGGTATCAGAGCAAGGTTAAGCTCTTGGTGCTCTTCGCCTTCTGGCGGACGGCAACTTTGCCTTAACCGCCCGCCAGACCTCAACCAATTAAAACCTACCAAAACCTCCAACCACTGCAGCAACTCAAACCACTGCTAACTCGAATTGACGCCAACTCTTCTCGCAACCAGTGTTTCATTTCGGCCTACTGCAGTTACAGATTGCCTTGCTGCAACTCCGGGCACCGTCGCCGACCATCCCAACTCGCATGGTTTGCATGCTTCGTGTCCAGCACCTGCAATATTGCTGCGTCTGACTGCTGACCACGACGCCTACCCAATACGTCGTTGGTCCGTCCATCATCCTTCTCATTCACTGCTCATGCGAGCTACATGTGCTGCCGCCGACCTGTTCTAACTGTCTCGGTGCCGTGTATGTGTTCAGATGTAAGAACACAAGACATGTCCTCTCGTCCCAAAGTCTCCACTCCTCTCACCTCCCTCCGCCGCCTGGCTGAAGGTTACTGGTTGAAACAGTCCTCGATGTCTCCCTATGCAGATTTTGTCACTGCAATGCTTATTCGTTCAACTGGCCTGAATCTTCAAAAAGCATATTCTCAAAGATTGAAATCACTAGGCCTTGTTGGACTGTTGGAAAATTCAGAGATTCTTTCATCTGGGGATATGGCTACTCTGGTGTACTTATGGAATCCTTTTACCATAGTCAGTTGTGTGGGTTTGTCTACTTCTCCAATTGAAAATTTGGTCATCATACTGTCACGTTATGGAGCTTGTACACGACAAATTCCATTGGCAGCTTTTGGATGGGTCATAGCAACACATTTGTCCCTTTATCCTGCTATTCTGATTGTACTGGTGTTTCTTTTATTAGGTTATGGTCCAGATGCTCCCCCAAGGAAATTGTTACTGCAAAGGAATTCCTGTGAACTGACAGGTCAACAGAAGGAACTGAAAAATCAACCAGTGCAACTAATTTGTTTCTCTTGGAAACCAGTTGTGTGTTTCTTCTTGTGGGCATCCATGTGGGCATTCTACGTGTTAGTTCTATGTGGCATTTCTGTTAAACAATATGGTGGTCTTCGGGAGATGTTTAAGAGAACTTATGGGTTTATTCTCACAGTGGAAGACTTGTGCCCAAGTTTGTCATCTTGTTAAAGAAAACAAATTCACTCTCTCTCTCTCTCTCATCTTTCCACTTTCAAACCCACAATCCTTTTTTTTAATCAACCCACTACCTCACTTTCTTTAAACCCCACTTTCACTCACACTCACATGGGCTTGTCCCATTCTCCTCTCATCTTTTCAACTTTTCTTTCAACTTTTTTTTCCAAAGTATTTGATCTGCCCAAGACGTGGCACAACACTTTATTTTATATATTATTATTATTCTTATTATTTCAACCAAAAAAAAAAAGGCAGAATTGCACACCAAACCTTCCCTTATTTTATTCATGTCGGGCCTCACCCCGATCACCATTTTACATAAAAAAAAAAAAAACCCAAACAACCACATACACAGGCGGGATTTTTCTTCTCTACTCTGCCGCCTGTCTTTTCTTCTTGCCTCCGTCCTGGACGGCCCTTGACGGTGTTGCCTCCGTGCTTCCTAGACCACCAAGCAAGTTTCCTCCTCCCTGCTCCTCCACTACAGCATATGGTGGACCTCCAAATCGGAACATCACGGTGGCCTTCCGTAGGGCAAACAACTCATCCTCCACAGCTTGAACCCAATGAGGATCCTGACAGGCCTCCTTGTAAGACTGAGGTTCTGCAAAAGAGTGAATAGCAGACAAAAAGGTACGATAGGAAGCAGAAAAACAAGTATTAGACCAACCCAACCGTTTTGGAGGATGACGCGTTCGAGGAGGATATCGGTGTATAGTAGGATCAGAGTCGTTAGAAGCAGGAGGATCAGCAGCAGGGGTAGAGACATCTAGTAGAGGAGGAGCCTTGCGACGAGAATAAACTAACAATGGAGGAGAAGAAGGAGGAGAAGTAGTCAGAGGTGAAGCAGGAGGAGAAGATGGAATAAGCTCAGGAGGAACTGTGGAGATGTACTCATCAGATGGGACCTCAGAAGGAAATGGATCAATATGAACCAAATCCTCTTTGGAAACTGGGGCGGTGAGAGGAGGAAGCTGAAAGTAAGATAGACGTTCGAGAAAGGCAACATGGCGGGAGACATAAAGGCGACGAGAAACAGGGTCATAACAGCGATAACCTTTCTGAGTGAGACTATATCCCAAAAAAACACATAGGACAGACCGGGCACTAAGTTTAGTCCTATCTTTACGGGGTAAAAGGACAAAACACGCAGACCCAAACACACGAAGGAGGGAGTAATTAGGAAGTTGAGAAAAGAGAGCCTCATAAGGAGACCGACCAGAAAGAAAGGGGGTAGGCATACGGTTGAGAAGAAAAGCAGCAGTAAGAACTGCCTCACCCCAAAACGGAGCGGGAACGGAGGCAGAGAGAAGAAGAGACCTAGCTGTCTCAAGAAGATGATGGTGTTTACGCTCAGCTCGACCATTTTGGGCAGGTGCATCAGTTGGCCAAGTATTCACAGAATTCAGTTTTAAAATATTCCTCGCCCAAGTCAAACCGCAACAATTTAATAATAGACCAAAACTGTGTAGTGACCATAGACTGGAAGGTACAGTATATCTGGTAGAAGTCAGACTTATGAGTCATAAGATAAACCCAAGTGTAACGGGTGCAGTCATCAACAAAAGACATATAGTAGGCAGAACCCCCTTTGGTGAGAACAAGAGAAGGGCCTCAAACATCAGTATGAACTAAAGAAAATCGTATATTAGATATATGAGTACTTTTGTGAAAAGGTAAGGTTGTCATTTTGGCAAGTTTACACCCCCGACATTCAGTAAGTTCACTAAGAGAAACTTTATCCAATATACCCGATTGAACTAAAGACCATAAGCGATCAGCAGACAAATGCCCTAATCTAAAATGCCACAAGTAAAAAGGACTAGACAGAGAATCTAACTGTAAAGAGGAAAAGGCAGTTTGAGAGGTTGCTATAGGCCAAGCTCTCCACCACATAGACGTCTCCACTACGTAAAGCTCTCCAACTCTACAGTCGGTCCCAATCTGCTGCTTAGACATCCAATCCTGCACAGAACAAATAGAAGAAGAAAAGATAACATCAAAACCAGAGGCATCAAGCTGACTGATAAATAATAAACTGATAGATAACTGACGAATATAAAAGATAGATGGAATAGAGACAGCAGACATAACAGATGGTAGGACAGACCCAACAGATATAACAGATATACCAGACCTATTAGCAGCATTGATAGTAATAGGAAAGGGATGAGTACAATTTTGAAGTAAGGGAAGATGGGGAGTCATATGATGAGAGGCAATAGAGTCAAAAATCCAGACAGATGAAGAAATACTTGACGAAGACCCAAGCAAACATGAATGAAAAGAGGAAACAATGGACGTAGACGGGGATGGCTGGGAGGTAGACAGGATATGCTGAAGTTGATTAATCTGAGCACTCAAGGAAGCCAAGTTAGGATTAAGAACCGGAACAGATGCAGTAGAACCGGCGAGAGGCTAAAAAATATTCAGAGAAGGGGCGCAGAACTGGATCGGAAACTGCTAAGAAGACAAGGCAGACAAACATCCCTTCTTAGGACAATGATACTTCCAATGACCCCTTTGATGGCAGAAGGCACACTCATCAAAAGCCAAAAACATCGTAATAAATAGAAAGGTGAAGGATTTGAGTATAATAAACCAACAACTGATGAGTCAAAACATATAATAATCCCAAACAACCAGAACCAAATCACCCCAATATGATACACACTGGTACTGATACTGATGTGGTCAAAGTTCAATAAGGACAAAACCTAGTGGACTAAGGTCAGAGAACCAATACAAAGAAAGGGAGCTTTCTTATCAGAGAACAGAGACGAGACCAAAGACGAAGAGAGAGGGAACTTCGTCAATACCAACAAAGAAACAGAGGGCTTCACTTCGACACAGAGAGAGAGAGAGAGAGAGAGCGAGCAGCAGACGAACCAAGGGGGAAATCCGTGATGATGTATCAAACCAGAAACAGAGGACTGTCGATCAAACAGCCCAGATGACCCACGATGTGTGGTCGACTAGCTGAACCAGAGAGAACCCAGATGATTTGAAAGGGTTTCGTGACTCGTTAAGGCTAAGAGGAGTTGCGAGTTGAACCCAGACAACTGATGAACAAATCAACCTAGACGGACCAATCGATTAAGAAAGAGAAAGCGAGTGACCTCCGAAGAGAAGAACCAAACAAGCAGTCAATTGCGATCAAGGGAGAAGACCACAACCTACGATGCAAAGAGACTAGCAACTTCTAGGGTTCGGTGATAGCTCTGATACCATGTAAGATTCCTGAAAGCTTTTCTATATATTCGATTGTTTCAATTTACAAAGAGTTCATCAGTTTATATAGCCCTAAGTCTATGACTGAAAAAGGAAATACAAACTATGATTGAAAAAGGAAATACAAATGAATTCTTATTTACACACTCATGCCATATATACACAATCTATATATATACAATATATTCTCACAATATGCATATACATTGGCCTCTCCCAAAAAAAATTCCTAGTTCCACCCCTGCTGGCAAATGCTGTAAAGTGTACCTTTTCTTTTTTTCTTGGCAATGGTTGTGGTAAGATCATTTGGTAAAGATCTCCCAAAAAATTAGAACAACCAAAGATTGACTTCACCAAAATTAGTAGGGAAATGTTAGGGTTGGTTTGGGATGTTCTAAAAAAGTGCACTTTTTGACTTATTGGCTTATATGGGTTGGGTTTGGGTTGAGTTTGATGTGATGTGTTAGAGAGGTGATGTGATTTAAATAAGATGATGTGACTTAAATAGGATAATGACTTTTTGACTTTTTGGCTTTTTTAGGTTATGCCAAAGCAAGCCTTAATTTGGTATGGTATTTCCAAAAAAATCAAAGTGGCTTCACAAATGTTAAATTTGGTAAAGTATCCAATGAACTGATCGTAAGTTGGTAAGATACACCCTTTTTAAACTCAACTCAGAAATTTGCAAAACCATTATCCTTATCACAACCAAAGAAAAATGCCCAAAAATACCATCAATACAACATATCTCGATGGAACTTCTCTAATCCAGAAGTGATGAAATCAGGATTGCAGAAAATGAACTTCTCTAATGTACATGAGATGATGAGTGAACATGTACAAAAAGAAAAAGATCACCCACACTGTCTTGGTTTCTTTTAACCCAAAAGATCTGACCCTAAAATTCACGTATCACAGAGTTGATGCGAACATATCTTAAAAAACTAATTAATACTGTATTCAAACAAAACCCACTATTATTTGGGGCAGGTCTGTTGAACATCTACGAAACATGGCAGCCTACCAGCATCCATTTATTCACCTATAGAGTGGAAGGGAAAAGGCTTACCGCAGTGGGAAGACAGCCGACAATGACTGGTGAGGAAGATAGCCGACACAAATGGGCAACGAAGGTCGGTGACAACAATAGCCGACGCAGATCGGCGTTGTTTGTTTTCTGTTGACGGCAGACCACAATTTACCCAAACACTTCAAGAGAGGCATAAGTGAAGAGGTGTGAAGGGGAAGAGGTCTGCCCTAAACAATGGAAATAAATGAGAGTATTTCGGTAAATTCACATTTTTTTTAGTTGTCATCTTCCCAAACTGGAAAAAGACCCACAAGTCTTGGCCTTTTGCTTTTTGCACCAGTTGATAAATAAGCTGCTTTTTTCAATGTTGCCAAACTCCAATTTAGTCATAGTTTATTTTTCTAGTTAATCTATCCATTAAGAGGCATATTCATTTGGGCAATTCAACAAACACCACGCAAATAGTTAAAAATCTATCACTTTTACTTCCTAATTTCAAATAGGATAAAATAAGCAGAATGATCACAAAATTTTATCAAATATCAAAAATTAAAATAGAACATACCAAATTGAAGAGAAAGGGTTTCTAAGGTTGATTCCAGCTTCACTAACCAGTGTCTCCACCGAATTTGATACAGATTCTTACAGTGGCAATTTCCTTCTCTGAAGAAAATTGAGGGCAGTTTTCACCACTTGGTCGAAGAAAAATGAAACTTCCAGAGATTCTTTTGTTGTGTCATTTGCTTTAAATGTTGGGGATAGGGGTGCTCATGGGCCCATCACCGGCCGAATTAAGATCAATATTTGTAAGATTTGAAAAAGAAAAAAAAAAAAAAAAAAAAAGAAGTCTACTCTATAAGATCGGATCAAATTACAATTTTAACTTCATTTAATTTTTAAGTTGGATTTAGGATGATAAACTTTAGCTTATACCTGCATGAGTCGCTTATTTATAAAATATTAATATTAATTTTAAATTATTTAATTATAAAATTAACTAGAAAAATAATAAAAATATAAGAAAAGCATATATATTTATTTTTATTGGGTTAAATGGGTCGATTTGCAATTTAAATTTTTTTTAGATAAAAACCAATAAACTTAAAAAATAAAGAAAAATAGAGCAAATCCCATAAGCCCAAATAAAGAAACCTATACAAACTAAAAAAAATGCCCAAAAAAATAAAGCTAGTAACCATGGATAGCCAAAGCTCATGAACACACACAACAGTAATGGGTAAACCATTATGGGTGCTGATAATCCCAAAATTTAAGAACCATGAAAGAAGAAAGCACTCGCTGTGTCAGAATTACAGAGAAGCTTTCAAACTCTCCTCCGTATGCACAAACACCCAGATCTGCTACACGATAGAAGTGTATTTGGAGTGTATCGAAAACGCGTCAAAAAGTCATTGAATGAGCATTGGGAATCTCTAGAGAGAGAAAGTCCCACAGCCCTCTTCACGGGATTGTCAGAAAGTCATTGGAGGGGGTATTGGGAATCTCTTGAGATAGAAAGTCGCGCACCCGTCCACGAGATAAGTAACTAATTAGTTGAGAGAAGCGAAAGTGAGAGTATCAAATGTAAAAATACATATATACGACCATTCAAGTGTGTGTAATGTGAAAATATACACACCAACTAAAGTGCGTATTAAATAATATATATTAACATATATGTGTGGGATCATATATAAATAAACTAGTGAAGGCTACTTGACAATTTCTTTTATAAAACAATTCAAAGTTAATAAAAAAATGAAAGAAAAATCTTACACCTTCAAGTCTTTCTAGTTTCATCAATTGTCTCAAAAACTAAACAAAAATTAGCCAAAAAACATCGAAAAAAAAATTTAAAAAAAATTTGACATGGTAACATATTGAAGTTTGTTAAAGGAAAAAAGCTTTTCAAATATTTGCAAAATAAAAATATAATGACCTTACAAGAACTGTTGTGGATTTAATCAAGAACATGAAAGTCTTAAAAGGTAAACACATTCTTATGTCAACACAAATATACATTTTGAAAAGGGATCTTTTTACAATATACACTTTTTTTTTAATGTATATTATATGTAAGTTATGATAATTTATAGTGTTGATATCACAAATGTCATAGTTAAATTACTTAATATGTGGTTGATTACTTGCCATAAAAATTGGATGAGTGTAATAATGAAATTAATTACCAAAAAATAATGGACAATACTATTAATTGGCAAATAGTTTAATGAGAACATTCTAGATAATTAGTTTTTGAGGATGAAGAAATGCAGTTTATATAAAAACCAAGCAACTTACAAGATAATGAAAAAGAAAAATACCACAAAGGCCACAAACCCAAATAAAGAACCTACTCGAACTACAAAAAGCCGCCAAAGAAAATAATTAAAAAAGCAACGACTTTGAAAACTTCCAATCTTTTTACAAATGTAGTGTGAAGAAATAAGATTTTTATCAAACTTAAAATCAAACCCATTGTCGTCGTGGTTGCTGTTGATCAAACTCCACCGTTGCCGTCTCAATCGCCAATAACCAAGGGTAACCAAAGCTCAAGAACACCCACAATAGTAATGAGTACTATTGTGGGTGCTGATAACCAAAACTCTATTAACGATAGAGGGAGAAAGCACTCTCTACGTCAAAATTAGAGAGAAGCTCTTAAACTCTTCTGTGTATGCATAAAAAACCTAGATCTACACGATAGAAATGTAATTGGAGCTTATTGAAAAAGCGTCAAAAAGTTGTTGAAGGTTGCAAGAATCTCTAGAGTGAGAACGTCACACACCTCTTCACAAGACTGCCAAAAAGTCATTGGAATGGGCATAGGGAAATATAGAGAGAGTCCAGCACTACTCTCTACGGGCCTACTGGGTCGATAAGTAGCTAATTATTTGAGATGGTGCGAGAGTGGGAGTGTCTAATGTGAAAATATAAATATGAACATTAAAGTGTGTTTAATGTGAAAATATATACACGGCCATTAAAGCGTTTATTAAATGATATGTATTAACATATATGTGTAGGATCATAGATAAAGAAACTAGTGAAAAAGTGGCGCATAAAACTACTTGACAATTTTTTTACAAAATAATTCAAATTTAAAAACAAAAACAAAAAGAAAGAGGAAAAATCTTGCACCTTTAAGTCTTTCTAGTTTCATTAATTATCTTAGAAACCAAACAAAAATTAGCAGAAAAAGGACATCAAAAAAAATCAAATCAAATCAAAAATTGACAAGGTAATACATTAAAGTTTATTAAAAGAAAAAAGCTTTTCAAAGATTAGCAGGATAAAAATATAATGACCTTACAAGAAAAGTTGTGGATTTAATAAGGAACATGAAAGTCTTAAAAGCTGAATATCATTTTTATAGGATTCAAATCTTGTAAAAAATCCCTTACAGGTAGGATTTTACAAACCTAGTAATTGGATCTTATAGGATCGTAGAATCCCGATCCGAATCTGATCCTATCCGATCCATTTGTAAGTCTCATTTTGTATTTTTGGCCTATTTTATTGTAAATTTTATATTTGTTGTCTAAATACCAATTTATATAGTCCAACTGAATAAAGAAAAAAGTAATATTGAATCAAATGGATTAAGAGAAACAAACTAGGAAAACAAAAGAAAACTAACTAGCAAGAAAAACAAACTTAGCCTTAGCATAGTTTGAGGAGGGCAAGATGTACGCAACTTCAACCCAGTTTTCGAAACTACTGTTTTTGTGACTCAAACCCGCTCCACAAGGCTAAGGACAAACTTTATCATTTGACCAAGCCGTTCTTTTGAGTTCTCAATCTAATTTCATATCCAACTTTGCTAAATATATATATATATATATATATATTTAGCAAAATTGGATATGAAATTAGATTGAGAACGTCCGACTAATCTCCAAGGATGTAAAGGCCCTCGATAAGGAGCTTCCCGCAAGTGCACCACCATTAATTCAAGGGTTTTCTCCCAATCCGATGGCTCCAAGGAATTGTTAGCATCTAAGAGGTTTCGATCCTTAAACCTTAGAAGGAGCACACTCCCAAGACCCAAGGACTTACCACTAGGCCAACCTCTTGGGGTTAAAGTTAAATATTTTTCTTTCACTTTTTATGCATTATTGTAAATTGTAAAGTGTTCTATTATAAAATTCTTCTTTTTCACCTTTTTTGATGAAATGCAAAACTTTTAATATCTAGTTTTCCATCATATAATATTATATTTACATTTTACATGGAGTTCTATTAGTTTTAGTATAATTTAGGCTTATTTGTGTATATTTTTTAAGAAATATTTATTTAAATTAAATTATTACGTAATTTGTCAATTTCAGCAAGATCTTATGATCTTCGATTTGATTCTATGATCCGATCAAGTAAACTCCTCCAATGATCCAATGTAGGATACCGATTTTAATAACCTTGGGTGCAACTTTTTGAATTGAGTTGCAATGTAACAAGTAAATATTCAATAACGTTAGAAAACCCCCTCAACCCTTGGTGGCAGAAGAAGGCCATTCCTTACCTACCAAACGCTGTAACTCTTGGTTGCAGTTGTACAGTGCAGCAACACTGTGACTGAGCGCATTTTGGGAAGTGAAAAAGTAGAAAACACTTGGTTTCAATTTATCTCCGATCATCATTTGTTCTTATTATTGTTATTTAAACAGCCTTAAACAAAATTGTTGGTTGCTAGGTTACCTGAAACCATACTTCTCTGTTGAGAGTTGTTGAGGAGATTCATTTTATTTCAAGAGAACTATAGAAACAGCAACACCATCTTACAAAATCTATTGTTTTGGATAAATAAGAAAGAAATCTCTCCTATATGGGAAGTAAACCGCGGATGGATTTATGCACATCAATTGTATGTCAACCTTAATCAACCAATCAAAACATAATGAATTATGATGTTTCCTGAGGCCAACGTCAAAACCGTGAAGTGAAACGAGTAAATCAAGACCTCTTCGGTGATCAGATCAAAGGATGATAATTGAGTTAACATATTACAATGGCCAAAATAGGACTCGTAAGGCTCACAGGGATGCAATAGTACTGCAGGCCGTCGAAATAAACAATGGATGAACTAAAATGTGAAAATGTAAGATGCTGACTATCATAATTGAAAGTTAAGAGACTAAAATGAGATTTCGATCAAAGTACGACCCTAAACACACCAAAACTTACCGCTAGCAAAAGTTGGCAATTGAACTTTAGCTCCTACTGGAAGATGCTATTTCAAGGACTACAACCTACTTTTCTGGACCTTTTTTTTTATTTCTATTTTTTTTATAATCAATTTGCAGCACTAAAAATTAAGATCCAATATTCAGGTTTCTCAAACTGGATCGACCATATTCAATTTCTGGAGCTAAATATCATCCAATTGATCTTTGAAATTTTCCAATAAAAAACAAACTGAAAACTCAAACAACACAAACATAGACCAAATTAATAGACTCAATCATATACGTCCCCATGTGAATGCATCAGGTTTACCAGATTCCAAACCCCATGTGAATGCATCAGGTTTACCAGATTCCAAACCTCACTAAGCAAAGAGACCAAGTTGAGCCTTCCAAACTTGAACATGGTTTTTAAATCACAATTGCATGTTAAATCAAATTATACCAACGTAGTTTTTGTGCTTCCCTCTTTTTATATTCTTTTAATCACTTAGATAATATGAGGAAGAAGAACTCCGAAAAATATGAGGAAGAAGGAATATATTTCACTTATATTCAAAACTTCTTATTTTACAAGACCAAATGACACTCCTTATATAGGAGATATTACAAACATCATTATAACCCATTATATGCCACTTACATATTATATATTACCACTACCTACCACTATCATATTATATACATGCCACTATCTACCACCAACACCACTATCACATATTCTATACATGCCACTATCTACAACCAACACCACTATCATATTCTATACAAGCCACTATCTACCACCAACACCACTATCACATATTCTATACATGCCACTATCTACAACTTCTACTCCTTCCTAGAGCATTTAAAACCATTCCACCCAACTACATCATAACTAGGAGATTAAAACCAGGAAGTGAATGAGTTTAACATACCCTCTTTGGTAATCAGAACAATCTAAATGATACTTGAGTGAATGAATTGCCGTGGTCAAAACAGGGCTCACATATAAAGCAACAAAATTGATAATTCAGCCTTAATTGATGAATGAAGAATCTAAATAACAAAAGATGATAGTAGCATAGCATCACAGACCAAGAAACTAACAATAACAAATACTTATATAAATATAGAAAAGTTTATTGATGGACTTACCATCTGCTGAAGAAAGAAGTAGAAACATGTAGGACAATGATCAAACAGGTGATAGGCTTTCAATGAATTGATAAGTAGTATTACACCAACTTGCTCCCCAATAAACAGTATCTTCTGTTGATAAATCACGAAGCTCCTTCAATGTCTTGGACTTGACATTATAAGAAATAACTTTGCCCCGGATAGCTAACACCAGTGTAAAATCTTTTTCATTCACTCCCTTCACGGCACAGAGCACATTAAATTCAGAGCATGTGACTATGGTTTTGCGTTCTGTCTTAGGAAATACAGATAAAATGGGTCTAAGATTAACCCGGTACTTCACAATCCACTCGCAGTAATCCCTGTGCATCCGAAGGATGCTTAATCCCATAGCACAAGGCTGAGGAGACTGAATAAGAAGCAAATCGCCACCACATTCTCCAAAATACCTAATCTTATCAGGAGAAAGGATTTTAGGGTTTCGAGGCATTGGGGTTTGTATAAACTTCTCTTCCTCAACCTCAAATCGAGCATGAACATTCGCATAGCTTATACCATGAATTGCTCCGTTCCAAAACACGCTGAACATGAATGGCACAGCTCGCGGTTCAGGCACAGAAACGTGTTTCCAAGACGAAGTCTGCGAACTGTAAATTTCAATTTCAACCCAGTGTTCATTATTAACATAACTGTAACTAAACAATAAAACTTTATAGTGAGGCGATTTCGCAGGATCAAAAGCCAAGAAAGCAGCAGCATTTTTACGATACGATTCAGATGAAGTGGGACCAATAGCAGGAAGAAGTGAGAATTTCTTTGTGGTGAGATTACAAACAATATATGGATGTTTTCTGAAACCATTAGAGCACAAGATTAAACCATTGCAAGAGCGTTCAATCGTAGTTGCAGAACTTGATACAACGACACCATCGAGAAAGGAGAGTGTGGGAAGAAGAGCTTGGTATCCAGCAATTGATACAGACTGTAGTTGTTCATCGGGAGACCAACGGTTTGAGTAGAAATATAAGGCTGAGACGGAGGAGTGGTGATTTCGGCGAGCGTGGTCGGAGGCGAATTGGGAGTGGGAGATGAGAGAGAGCCATTGCTTTGACACCGACTTGAATCTGATTAGGGATTTTGCTGGGACTCGGATTAGGATCTGTGTTAGGAGATCTGAATTGTTGGCAATTAATTCAGCAGCGAATGAATGTTCCGAGGAAGTACAGCCGATGATAAGCTTTCTTCTGCTTCTTCTTGTTTCGCTGTATACTTTCATGGTTCAATTTTGACTCTCAAGAATAGAGAATGCCCTATAAGGAACGACTTTTATAAACAATCTTTGTTGGGGATGGCGTTAATTTAAAAGACCTCTTTGGGTTGGGACTACCAATTTACACCTTGGCTGGCGTTAGTTTGAAGGCTACTACTGGCTTGTTTCTAGCCACCACTACTTAGGTCAAGTTTAGGTCTAGTTTGGGAAGACTAAATAAGTGTATTTTTTGATTTTTTTTTTTGTATTATGTGTAGAAAAAATAGAGAGGAGATGTTGATTGATGTAACCCAAAAAAGATAAAAAGATGAAATAAGTACACTTTTTTCTTTGTAGTCAAACTTGGCCTTAGTTACAAAGAAAAAAGTGCACTTATTTCATCTTTTTATCTTTTTTGGGTCACATCAATCAACATCTCCTCTCTATTTTTTCTATACATAATACAAAAAAAGTCAAAAAGTGCACTTATTTAGTCTTCCCAAACTAGGCCTTAGGTTCACACTTTTTCTTTTTTATTTTTCTTTTGGAGGAAGTTCATTATTAGAATCATATAAATATTGTGGGGACATATTTTTATAGTCGTATCACGTGGTTGAGGTATCACGTGGGTGAGCTATGATGTCAAGATTATTGTGTTATTGTCAAGATATGATGCAATAATGTAGAAATTTGAATAAAGGACAAGAGTCGTAGATGGTATCAAGCTATCTATTTTGATAGAGATGTGATTCTTGAGAAAGTTTATCTTAATCTTAATAGTGTGAGTTGTAATAGATGTTATTCTTATAAAAGATAGAGTCTCATGAAATAAGACTTCTAAGGGAAATTGAACACTGATCATTACAAAAGTGAGGCATCCTATAGGTCTAAGGTATGTTCTGACTTATGTATTGAGTACTTGTTTGATATCTCTGTATTGAGTACTTGTTTGATATCTCTGAGAGATGAGTTGAATGACTTGATCGTTAGAGTGTCCACGGGTAGACGAACCACCGCGATATTCTCATCTTCTTGTTGACAAGTGGTTGACTTAATCTATTCTGTCGCATGCTCTCCAGTTTAGTTCTCTGTTTGGTTGTGTGGTCGGAAATCATCACCCACAAATATATACAGTGAATTACACTAACGGACTTTATAGTTTCGTATTTGTATTATTTTGATCTCTAACTTTTCAATTGTGATATATTTGACTTTAAATTTTTAAGGAAGAGGCCGACGATCGGCGGTGATGGGAGGAGGGAGATCGGTGATGGAGGGACGATGGTGACGCCGTGAGAGCAGCTGCGTAGAGAGAGAGAGAGGGGGGAGAGACAGAGGCTGAGACCATGACTCATGAGAGAAACGAAGTGCATCTTTTGAAATGCATGTGAGTGACTCAGAGTGAGGCAGAGTCAAACATTGCATATATCTATGAGGAATATTCGGAGAATATCCGGGGAGTTAAGCGGGGATATTTCGGGGACGGGGCCGGGCCGGGCCGGGGTTGGGATACCTATCCCCGTCCCCGGCCCGAAAACAGTCGGGGATTTTATTTTTAATACCATCCCCGGCCCTATGGGGATAATTTTCGGGGAAAAACCGTTATAATCGGGGTCGGGGGATCGGGTCCCCGTCGGGCCGGGTTGAAATTGTCATCCCTATGTGTTATTGTCAAGATATGATGCAGTAATGTAGAAATGTGAATAAAGGACAAGAGTCGTAGATGGTATCAAGCTATCTATTTTGATAGAGATGTAATTCTTGAAGAAGTTTATCTTAATCTTAATAGTGTGAGTTGCAATAGATGTTATCTTCATAAAAGATAGAGTCTCATGAAATAAGACTTCTAAGGGAAATTCAACACTGATCATTACAAAAGTGAGGCATCCTGTGGGTCTAAGGTATGTTTTGACTTATGTATTGAGTACTTGTTTGATATCTCTGAGAGATAAGTTGACTGACTTGATCGTTTGAGTGTCCACAAGTGGACGAACCACCGCGATATTCTCATCTTCTTGTTGACAAGTGGTTGGCTTAATCTATTCTGTCGCGTGCTCTCCAGTTTAGTTCTCTGTTTGGTTGTGTGGTCGGAAATCATCACTCACAAATATATACAGTGAATTATACTAACGGACTTTATAGTTTGATATTTGTATTATTTTGATCTCTAACTTTTCAATTGTGATATATTTGACCTTAAATTTTTAATCTTGTTTCAAATAAGGACAATTGAAGATAACATTGGATTTTTCAATGACAAAATCGTCAATTTGATAAAATATAAATTAATTCGACAAATAAATGTCAAAAAAATATTTTTAAATTTTTAAAAATTATTTCTGACCACCAAAGATAAAATGTAAAATTGATAAATCTTTTACAAATTTATTTATTTATTTATTTTACCAATTTAATTTTTATTATGTGCTTAGATGATAATCATGTACTAGATAATTGTTAGGCTTTTAATGTGTAATCGATATATTTATTATATGAAATATTTTTAGTTTTGGATTTTTTTGTTTAATAGATTGGTTTAATAATTATATCAAAGTTGTCGCCATATTTGACTTTCGAAAAAATAGAAACTAATTTAATTACATGATCATTAGCCAAACACATAACAAAAATTAATTTGGTAAAAAAATTAAATATATGTTTAAAAGATTTATCAATTTTACGTAATTTTATCTTTGGTGGATAGAAATAATTTTTAAAAATTAAAAAATATTTTTTTACATTTATTTTTTTCAAATTAGTATATATTTTATCAAATTGATAACTTTGTTCTTGAAATTGAGTAATGGTATTTTCAATTATCTTTATTTAGAATAAGATTCAAAATTCAAGGTCAAATGTGTCACAATTGAAAAGTCAATGATTAAAGTGACACAAGTCCCAAACTATAAGGACTATTA